TCACGCCTTTAATCCCAGCACTTGGGAGGCAGAGGCAGGTGGATCTTTGTGAGTTCAAGGCCAGCCTGGTCTACATAGTGAGTTCCAGGACAGCTGGGGTTACAAGGAGACCCTTGTCTCAAAAAGACCCCCACCAAAAAAAACCGCACTCGAAATCAAGTTGTTATAGAAAAAAGAATACAGGACTGGCAAAATGGCTCAGCAGGTAAAGGTGCCTGCTTGATCCTGACAACCTGAGTTCAAAACCTAGAATCAGAGCTGGAGAGATGGCTCAGCAGTTAAGAGCACTGGCTGCTCTTGCAGAGGACCCAGGTTCAGTTCCCAGCACCCACATGGTGGCACAGCCATCCATAACTCCAGTTCCAGGGGATCTGGCCTCTGCAGGCACGGCATGACTTGGATGCACTTCCATACATGCAAGATAAAACACTCATACACATAAAAATTAAGGCAGGCATGGTAGCGCACACCTTTGATCCCAGCACTTGGGAGGCAGAGGTAGGCGGATCTTTGTGAGTTTGAGGTCAGCCTGGTCTACATAGTGAGTTCAAGGATACTTGGAGCTACAAGGAGACCCTGTCTCAAAAAGACCAAAAACAAAAACAAAAACAAAAACAAAAAACAAAACTAGAAAGCACATGGTAGAAGCAGATAACCTACTAAGGCAAGCTGTGCTCTGGACATCCACATACATGCCAGGGCATGCATACACACAAACAAAAAGAAAAAAAGATTGCATATACATAGAAAATTGCATAAACATGAAATATCTCTGAAATGTACAGAAGGACTGCTGACCAGTGATCAGGGACGATGATTTGGGGAACAAGATAACAGAGCAAAAGGTATCTAACTTTCACTGTGTATTTCTGCAGTCCATTGGTTCTGGTTTTTGTTTGTTTTGAGACAAGGTCTCCCTATATAGCTGAACTTGCAGCCTTCTTGACTCAGTTCCTAAAGTGTCAAGATTACAGGTATATGCTACCACACCTGACTGCTTTCTGTATTTCTGATTTTAGTTGTATACTTTCCAGTAGAACTTATTCTTTCAAAAAGAGACCAAAGTCAGGATGGTGGTATAGGCCTTTAATCCTAGCACTCAGGAGGTAGAGGCAGGTGAATCTCTATGAGTTCAGTCAGCCAGGGTTACAGGGATTACAGACTTATACCACTGTACATGTTTTAAGCAGTACTGGGGATCAAACCTAGGTTTTCAAAGCAGGCTAAGCAAGCAATCTTTCGAGCTCCAGCTATATGTCCAGCTTGAAAATGGAAGGTTATAGATTGAGAAGGAGGGTGGGAAGGGAATGCGGAAGGAAGATGGGAGAGGCGAAGCCAAGCATAATGAGAAAGAAAAGGGAAAACTTTATCAGAGTATGTCTTTAATTTCTTCCACTGCTAACCTAAGAACTATATACTGGTAACATGAAAAATAATTAGCTGATAACTGAATAAACCAATTAATTATAAGGGTTTTTTTGGGGGGGATCTTTTTGAGACAGGGTCTCACTGCAGCCCCAGTTCACAAATGCCTGTAACTCCAGCTTCAGGGAATCTTGACACCTGGCCTCTGAGGGCATTGCACTCATGTGCACATAGACACACACAGACATACAAACACACATAATTAAAAATAATAAAAATAATTTTTTAACATTTAGTCAAGCATGGCAGCATGTACCTGTTGTACAGGCTACTCCAGGAGACTGAGGCACAGAGAGTTTTTGGACCTGGGAGTTCTGAGACAGTCTTAACAACAATGCAAGTAAGGCACAAAGTTTAATCACTAACACTTGCAGTCTAGGAACATGGCTTAACAATGTATCAACTGTAGTAAAATGTTGACACCTCAGTAAACCAGGTATCTTTTCTGTATTTTTTTCAGTTTTTCTATAATGTAATGCTGCTGCAGAAAACCAAAATGTTGAGCCAAGTGTGGGAGTTCACATTTGTAACTTTAGCACCTGGGTGCCCCAGGCAGGACTGCCTCAAGTTTGAAGTTGGCATGGACTATATATAGTTTGAGGCCAGTCCAGGCAACAGATAGCACCCTATTACAAGAGAAACAAAACCAGAAAGTTACTTATAGCCAGGCTCTGTCTCAGGAAAGGAAGGGGGGGGCGAGGGAGAAAGGGAGGGGGAGGGGAAAGGGGAGGGAAGAGGGAGGGGGAAGGGGGAGAAGAGGGAGAGGGGGAGGGGAGGGGAAAAGGGAGGGAAGAGGGTGGGGAGGGGAAGGAAGGGTTCCAGGCAGAGGTACAAATTTATATTCTAGCATATGGGAGGTGGAGAAAGGAGGATCAGGAATTCAAGACCATCCTTGACTACACAGAAAATCTCAGGCCAGTCTGGAGGGGGCTGGAGAAATGGCTCAGCAGTTAAAAGCACTGGTTGCTCTTGCAGAGGATCCAGGTTGGGTTCCCAGCACCCACATGGTGGCTACTATCTGTCCTTAACTCCAGTACCAGTGGATTCAGTGGCCTCTTCTTCTGCCCTAATTGGGCACTGCACACAAATGGTGCACTTACATACAAGCAGGTAAAACACTTAAAATTTTTTTAAATTTATTTATTTATTTATTTATTTATTTTTATTTATTTATTTATTGGTCTTTTTGAGACAGGGTCTCCCTATAGCCCCAGCTGGTCTGGTCTGGAACTCCCTATGTACCAGGCTGGCCTTGAACTCAGAGATCCGCCTGCCTCTACCTCTGTCTCTCTGGGACGACAGATGTGCCAAACCACGCCTGGCAAATACATTAACTTAAAAAGAAAAAGAAAGTTGGGCGTGGTTGTGTAGGGCTTTCATCTCAGCACCGGGGCAGGCAGAGGCAGGTGGATCTACATAGCCAGCCTGGTCTACAAAGCGAGCTCCAGGCCACACAAGGCTACAGGGAGACCCTGTCTCAAAAAAACAAAAAACAAAATAAGCCAGGCGTGGTGGCGCACGCCTTTAATCCCAGCACTCGGGAGGCAGAGGCAAATGGATCTCTGTGAGTTCAAGGCCAGCCTGGTCTACAGGTGAATCTCTATGAGATGGAGGCCAGCCCCAGAGGCCAGCTGAGGCCACAGGGAGACCAAAAAAAAAAAAAAAAAGAAAAAAGAAAAAGAAGGGGGAGGCCAGGCGTGTCACATGCCTTTACTTCCAGGACTCAGAGGCAGAGGCAGAGGCAGAGGCAGAGGCAAATGGATCTCTGTGAGCTGGTCCACAGAGTTCCAGGCCTGCTAGGGTACAGGGAGACCCTGTTTCAAACCACCATCTCCCCAAAAAAAGTCCCAAAAAGAAAGGAAAAAAAGAAAAGTAGGGAGGAGGAAATGAGATGGCTCCTGCTACGAAACCTGATGAGCTGAATTCCATAGCAGGGGCCCATATGGTGCAAGAACACCAGTTCCCGAAAGTTGTCCTCTCACCTCAACACACACACACCTATGCACACACATACATATTCTCTCTCTCTCTCTCACACACACACACACACAAACACAAAATAAAAATGGAACTTAGAGAAAGGGGGGGCTGGAAAGATGGCTAAGACACCCATATGGCAGCTAACAATGGTCTGAAACTCCAGTTCCAGGGGATCTGACGCCCTCTTCTGCACAACATACATATATGTAAGCAATATACTCATATATGTAAAATAAAATAATAAGAAAGAAAAAGAAAAAGGAGAGAGGGCTCAGCTTGGTAGCACATGCCTTTAATCCCATCACCTGGGAGGCAAGAGGCAGGCAGATCTCTGAAATCAAGACAAGCCTGGTCTACATAGTGTCCATGTCAACCAGAACTATAGGAAGACCCTGCCTCAAAAAACAAACAAAAAATAAAAAAGGAGAGGAACAAAAATAATATGCACTAAATTTTGACAATAATTATTTTGAATAGTTAAGATTATAAGTGACTTTTTTTTCCCCCTCACTGCTGAGGAAATCCAGGGCGTTGCACATGCAAGGCAAAATGTCTACACAGACCTACATCCTCTTGGCCTTTTGATACCCAGTCTGATTCAAATTCACATCCTCTGCCTTTGCCTCTGAGTGCTAAAACTACTGGTAACTACAAACTGTGCTACCATTTCTGGTAGCAGTTTTTTTCAAATTTTTCAATATTTTCCAAAATGTACATGCAAGCTGGGCATGGTGGTGCACGCCTTTAATCCCAGCTGGGGCTGCAGGGGGACCCTGTCTCAAAATAGACCAAAAAAAAAAAAAAGGTACATGATTTTTTTGAGTACAGACTTGCTATACTTCTTAAGCTGGCTCCAAATCAATTCAGTTACCCACCTTAAAGAATAGTGGTATCGGGGCTGGAGAGATGGCTCAGCAGCTAAGAGCACTGACTGCTCTTGCAGAAGACCCGGGTTCGATTCCCAGCACTCACAAGGCGGCTACAAACCATCCTTAACACCAGTTCCAGGGGAATCCGAAGCCCTCTTCTGACCTCCACGGCATTGCATAACACAGGTGCACTCACATACATGCAAGCAATGCACTCATACGCATAAAATAAAAAATAGTAATTAAAAAAAAAATAGTGGTATCAAGGCAGCTCATGCCTCTAATCCCAGCACTTGGGAGGCAGAAGCAGGAAGACTGCCAAGAATCTATAGCCATCTTGGGCTAAAAAACATAGATAACCCTGAACAAATGTATTTATCTACATTTAGCTATCTGTAAACTAGTCATTTAAAAAAACATAGCTCCAGACTCTAAATGGTGACTTTCAACCTGTAGTTACTTATCGATTCCTTCTCTACTATTGTATTCTTTTTGAGACAGCTCTGGCTGGCCTAGAACTGGATATGTGGACCAGGCTGGCCTTGAACTGACAGAGATCCACCTGTCTCTGCTTCCTAAGCATTAGGATTAAAGTGGCATGCCACCAAACTGAGCTGAAATTTTATTTTATTTTACTTTACTTTATTTTGGTCTTTTTGAGACAGGGTCTCCCTGTAGCCCCAGCTGGCCTGGAACTCACTATGTAAACCAGGCTGGCCTTGAACTCAAGAGATTCACCTGCCTCTGCCTCCTGAGTGCTGGGACTAAAGGCCCGTGACTAAATTTTAAAGTACTTTGTTCTTACAACTCTCCCCTATCCCTTGGGGCTGGAGAGATGGCTCAGCGGTTAAGAACACTGGTTGGTCTTGCAGAAGACCCAGGTTCGAATCCCAGCACCCACATGGCAGCTAACAACTGTTAACTCCAGTTCCAGGGGATCCAACAGCCTCTTCTGACCTCTTCGGACATTGCACGACACGGGTGCACTTACTTACATTCAGGCAATACATGCTTACGCATAAAATAAAAATAATAAATAAAATTTTAAAAAAAAAGTTAAAAAAAAAACAACTCTCACCTAACCTTCAACTTCCCATTTTCCTCAACTGAATCCCAACCCAGTAGATTTTTTATTTTCTTCAACCTACTGTTATCTACTTCTCTCTTTTTTTAAAAAAATATTTATTATTTTTATTTTATGTGCATGTGTGTATTGCCTGCATGTAGGTAAGTGCACCCATGTCGTGCAATGTCCGCAGAGGTCAGAAGAGGCTGTCGGATCCCCTGGGACTGGAGTTACAGTTATAAGCTGCCATGTGGGTGCTGGGATTCAAACATGGGTCTTCTGCAAAAACAGTCAGTGTTCTTAACCACTGAGCCATGGGACCCAAATTTAAACAATGAGGCCATTTATTTTTTATTTATTCCCTTGCAGTCTGAAGATACTTTTTTTTTTTTTTTTTTTTTTTTTTTTTTTTTTTTTTTGTCTTTTTGAGACAGGGTTTCCCTGTTGTCCCAGCTGACCTGAACTCACTATGTAGCGCAGGCTGGCCTTGAACTCACAGAGATCCACCTGCCTCTGCCTCCCAAGTGCTGGGACTAAAGGCGTGTGCCACCACACCCGGCCTAAAGATACTTTTATATAATCTTTTTAGAATGCCTGCATTTAACCCTTCACATGTGGTCAGTTGTGGAATTTTTCACTTATAGCATCATGTCAATACTCAAAAAGTTGTAGAGGAGGCTAGAGAGATGGCTCAGTGGTTAAGAGCACTGGCTGCTCTTGCAGAGGACCCAGGTTCAGTTCCCAGCCCTACATGGCTAACAACTGTGCATAACTCCAGTTCCAGGCACTGCCCTTGTCTCACCTCCACAGGCCCTGCAAGACTCAGGTGGACCTACTTACACGCAGGCAATACACTCATACACTTAAAATAATAAATATATATAGCTGGAGAAGTTAGAGCATTTTGGATTTTAGATCTTCAGATTAGAGCTATTCAACCTCTACTGACAAGGAAAGGTAAAGGGGACGTCCACGCTTACCTCCTTCTCTCTTGACCTCTTCACTTAGCCCTCCTGAAGAAGGTTCCTCTATGACAGGATGATCGCTTCTGTCTTCTTTGGTAACAGGCCCAGGCTTGAGGACAATTTTCTTCCCTCTCTGTGAAGCAGTGGCCTGGAGTCTTCCTTTACCAATGTTCATATTCAGGGAAGGAGAAGACTCCAAGGATGGAAGGGTGATTCCCTGAGAGATGGCTACATCAACAGCTTCCAAAACTGGAAAATTAGTATGCTGGGTAAGCATCTTAGAGCTTGAAGATGGATCCTCCATGCTGAGCTGATTTTCTGCATCCTGCAGGGAGTGAACTTCAGGGCACACTGCACTGTCATTACTTTGATACCAGGACACTGACCCTGAGTCTTTAACCTGGTCGGCTGTGTCCAGGTCTAAGCCATCTCCCTCCTGGCCTTCCTTCTGCTGCATGGACTCTGTCACGGTAGTTCTTCTTTTTTTACAGGGCAGCATTTTAAAAGCCCCACTTTTGTTCCATCCTAAAAGGGTAACAGCAAATTCTTATCACCTCAGCAATACTGACAATAGCAACATTCACTCAATTCTCTTTCCACGTTAGCCAAGTTCCATCACGAACATGATATTCCATACCAAATGCCCAGTATTCCTTTAAGGGAAGATGAGAAGCTACAGTGACTGAGTTCAAATCCCATACTACATAGTATGTTACCCTGGCTCCATAAGGTGTTACCTTAAGCTTCCTCAACTGTTCAAACAAACAACAAACAACAACAGCATTTGTTTTTAGCACATAGAGCTGTCATAAAAATTAAATAGTGGGGCTGGAGAGATGGCTCAGCAGTTAAGAACACTGGTTGTTCTTGCAGAAGGCTAGGGTTTGAATCGAAGCACCCACATGGCAGCTAACAACTGTCTGTAACTCCAGTTCCAGGGGATCCAACAGCCTCTTCTGTTCTCCACAGGCACTACACGACATGGGTGCACTTACCTACACGCAGGCAACACACACATACACATAAAATAAGAATAAATAAAAAAATAAAAATTAAATGGTGGAGCCTGGCATGGTGGTACATGCCTTTAATTCCATCACTCGGGAGGCAGAGGCAGGCAGATCTCCATGAGTTCAGGGCCAGCTGGTCTACATAGAGAGTTCCAGGCTAGCTGGGGCTACAGGGAGACCCTGTCTCAAAAAAAAGCAAACAAACAAAAAAAAATCCAACCAAATAAAAAAAATTAAATAGTGGACTGGAGGCCAGGTGTGGTGCCTTATGCCTTTAGTCCCAGCACTTGGGAGGCAGAAGCAAGTAAATTTCTACGAGTTGAAGATCAACCTGGTCTACACAGCAAGTTCTAGGCCAGCTGGGGCTACAGGGAGACCCTGTCTCAAAAAGACCAAAAATAAATAAATAAATAGATAGATAGATAGAGAGATAGATAGATAGATAGAGAGATAGATAGATAGATAGAGAGATAGATAGATAGATAGAGAGATAGATAGATAGATAAATAGATAGATAAATAGATAGATAAATAGATAGATAAAATAAAAATCCAAAAACAGAAAATGTGGTTATTTTAAAAAGAGATTTCTGCTGTTCTCTACTGTTACTTCAGTACTTTGTATTCTTGACTTCAATCCAATTTTAATGCCAATACTAACTTCAACCAGAGGGTAGTGGTGAACACACAGAGGGACAGTACAGTATCTAATATTATACACAAGACGGTTTAATCTTTTTTAAAAGGTGGCGGTCAGGAAGCTTCCTGTTCTGTAGAACAAAAAGCAATGAATCTCTAATTTCCAAGGTTTTCCCAGGGACGAGGTGCTCAAAGCAGATACTTAGGAACAGAGGGAGAGCCGATCAAAAGACATTTGTCTGTAGGGGCTCAGGAAACAATTAGCAACAAAATGTGACCTGTTTGAAAGGTATAGAGCAAACATTCACACAACACATAAGGTATAGTTTTTAGCTAATCTAAACTTAAGAGACAGCACACTTGCATACATGCCTATCTGGCTCTGCCATCTCAGACATTCTTGGCTACTGGCAAGGAGGCACATGGAGTCAAGCATACTTTCTAGAGCATTCAGACAGCATAGTGGTCTCCAACATCAAATAATAATAATTACAAATAATAATAATTACATACCACTTTTGAAATATATTTCTTTCCATCCTCAAATTATGAATTTAGTGAAAAAAAAGGAATCCTCTAACTGGTGCTCCCAGTACACAGCAGTATAGGTAACTGGGTAACTGGGGAATAATCCCTGAGGAAATGAACTAAAGAGGGCTTGGGCTTGAAAAACTGCTGAATTTGGACCAAACAGTAACCATTTTATATGAAAACTAACTTCCTTCCTTCCTTCCTTCCTTCCTTCCTTCCTACCTACCTACCTACCTACCTACCAGGTTGGTCTTCATCTCACAGAGATCCACCTGCTTCTGTCTCTGAGTGCTGGGATTAAAAACTAGCATCACCATGTCCGGCTTTTAAAAAAAAAAAATCAGGTTCTCATCATCTCAAGCTGGTCTCCAACTTGCTAGGTGGCCCAGGATGATCCTGAACTTCTGATATTCCTGCCTTCAACTCCCTAGTGCTGAGATTACAGATGTGTGGCACAACTGGTTTCCACAACATCCTATTTTATTAGGTGTTGGGGAAAGAACCCAGGGCTTTTTGCATGCTAGGCTAACATTCTATCAACTAAGTTACACACTTGGCCTCTGGTTGCAACTTTCTATCCAAGAAAATCTTATTTTTATAAATGGTTCAAGAACAGAATAGCTGCCTTGTATTAGCTCTTCATCACTGGCAATCTTTAAAGAAAGTCTGAATGATTCCCCCCCTCCACCCCCCACCCCGCCTCCAACACAGTACTAGAGGAACCCTCCTGGCGAGTTTAAAAACGAAGTTCTCTCTGACTCGGAACGTTTGATCTATAAAGCTAACTTTAAACCTCCCTAATTCAGTTTCTCTGGGTTATTAAGGTTCATCTCCCCTAACAGCCGAGATTCTTGGAAAAGCTCAGTAACCGAGATGATTTGTTGATCTTGTCTGGAAAGAAGGTACGTGGGTAAGGAGTGGAGTGTGAATAGGTGATTCCTTTACTTCACAGATGAGATCCAGAAAAAAAGAAGGAAGAGAAAGGAAGCGGGGAGAGGGGAGTAGCCAGCTGCTGCTATTCAGACAGCACAGTGCGTGGAACGCTCCAGACGCTTCAAACTACAGTAGCGCCTTTGCGACCCGGAGTCGGACCAACCGAGTGAACGAATGTCAAATAGCAAGTAGCCCCCAAGCTACTCCCGGAAAAAAACATTTCAAAAGGCATCCTAGCTGCGCTCTCCACAGCACCGTTAACACGAGCTCAGATCCGCGCTACCAAGCAGACTCCTAGCACCAACTCCCATCACACACCACGCACCCCCATCCTCCAACCAGAAACCCCAATCCTGGGCATCCTGTGAGCAGGAGCCCCAGGTCTAGCATGCCTCTTCCAGCCCCACCACACACTACCCAGTACCCTCAGAGGCCGGCCTGATCCCGCGGAAATTCTGCTTCTGCAGCAGCGGAAGTAAGGCAACGGCGGCGGCTGACGTGCGCGTCCCCGACTCCCAGGGCACGGGCCCTCAGGGCGTCAAGGAGCATGCGCCAAATGCTAGCCGCCATCTTATTTTAGGGCCACTTGAAGCCACAATGCTACTGCCTCAGTTAATGGAAAAAAATCAATGGATAGATAAAAGATGATATATTAGGTTAGGCTAGGTTAGATTAGATGAGATTAGATGAGATTAGATTAGATTAATAGATGATGATAGATTGATAGATGCTAGATAGATAGATAGATAGATAGATAGATAGATAGATAGATAGATAGATATGATAGATGATAATGTAAGAGTGCACCTTCTTGACCATAGCTACACCATGTTAAAGTTTAGGCTAACTCTAGTTTCTGAAATTATCAGGCAGTTGGCCCAGGGAATGGGAATGCCAGCTGGGCCCTGGTTGTCTTGGGAACAGGTCAGCTGTCCTAGAGTGCTCCTGCTAACTGCTGATTTATGGCTTCTGTAGGTTATGCTTGGCTTGCTTCTGCAAAATAGTAATTGTTGCTTACAGACCCCTTTCTGGTTGGAAGACTTAGGGAAACTTTATTTCTAGGATACAATTGCTATACAACAAACCCCCCCTAGAGGGAACTTTGTGACCAGAAAAGGCAAGGCAAATAATAAGATTGATATAAATGAGGAGGAAGGCATGCAGATGCACTATGGTTCGGGTGGGGGGTTTGGATGGAAAATTGTATTTTGTTACTTATTTCCTTGATAATGTTTGCTCAAGCTTAAGGCTCAATGATTAGCTTCTGTATTCTGCTTGCTTGCCTAGCAACATGATCAACTTGGATAAAAATAGCCAGAGTGCTTAGGCTTGGTGCTACTCTTGGACCCTTTAGGAAAGAGTGTAGCCCGGCCATAATAAATCTATCTTGCCTTCTCTAGACTCACCTGTCTCTTTGTCTGTTTGGGGCATTTGCGGATCACAGACTATAACAGATAGATGATAAATTGATAGATGACAGAGAGCTGGTGATAGATAGATGGAGATCTATGATAGGATAGACTGATAATTAAAGACTGGAGATGTAATTCACTTAGTAGAGTGCTTGCCTAGCATGCAGGAACCTCTGAGTTTGAGTCCCAGCGCTGAATAAACTGGGAATGGTAATCTTAGCACTTAGCACTTGAGAAATGGAGGCTGAAAGTTCAAGGTCATCCTCAGAACTGTATAGTGAGTTCCAGGTCAGCCTGAGCTATCCTGTCTATGAATGGATGGATGGATGGATGGATGGATGGATAGATAGATAGATAGATAGATAGATAGATAGATAGATAGATAGATAAATACACTGGAGAGGTGGCTTGGTGTTAAGAGCACTGGCATTTCCCAGTATCCTTACTAACTCCAGTTCCAGGGGATATGATGCCCTCTTCTGGCTTCCATGTGGCGCACCTATGTACATGCAAGCAAAACACTCATACACATAAAATACAAATGAAAAATTTAAGTTCTAAATAAATAAATGAATGCTCTTAGCCTTGAGAGTTATCACACTGAGAATGGAGATTCCATGGTTTAAGTTGATAACTAATCAGTCTTCCCATGAAAAACGTGGACCATAGAAAGAATAGGAAAAATCATAACATTTCTGAAAAAAGAGTCTTTAGATTGCAAACAGAAAAGGTATCTGGGTAAAATAAGGCAGATTTGGATTCAAGGTGTAGCAATTATTCATATCTCTCTAATCTGCATTTTACAAAATGTTCTCACATTATCATAGGTGGTTTAGTCTCCACAATAAATCTTGTGGGTCAGTGGACACTTTAAAAACATTTTATTTGTTATTATTATTTTATGTGTATGAGTGTATTGCCTGCATGTATGTGAGTGCACCCGTGTTGTGCAATGCCGCGGAGGTCAGAAGAGGGCTTCGGATTCCCCTGGAACTGGGGTTAAGGATGGTTTGTAGCTGCCATGTGGGTGCTGGGAATTGAACCCAGGTCCTCTGCAAGAGCACTCAGTGCTCTTAACTGCTGAGCCCTCTCTCCAGCTCCGTCGTTTTTTTAAAATCACTTTTCCAGTTTGTATAGGACAAAATTCTGGCCCTGCTGGGTAGGTGATCTCACAAAGGTACCCAATTATCACGGAGAATCAGGTATACGGTATCCTAATTCTAGCTATTAATGCATCAACCCAAATCCCGGGAAAGTGTCTGGACCATCATGTTCAATAATTCAATACAAGTTGTTTTTTGAGATTATTACTATTTATTGTCTTATTTTATGTGTAAGAGTGTATTACCTGCATGTATGTGAGTGCACCTGTGTCGTGCAATGCCACAGAGATGAGAAGAGGATTTTGGATTCCCCTGGAACTGGAGTTAAGGAAAGTTTGTAGCTGTCATGTGGTGCTGGGAATCAAACCCAGAACCTCTGCAAAAGCAGTCAGTGCTCTTAACTGCTGAGTCATCTCTCCAGCCCTATTTATTGTCTTTTAGAGACAGGTCTGCCTGTAACCCCAGCTGATCTGGAGCTCAGTATGTAGACCAGAATGGCCTTGCTCCTCACAGAAATCCACCTGCCTCTGCCTCCTGAGTGCTGGGATTAAAGGTGTGTGCCATCATGCCCTGCTGTTATTTTTTTTTTACTTATGTGTGTATGTATGAGTGCAAGTGCCCCCAGAGGCCAGAAGAAGGTGACAGATCCCTGGGGAGCTGGAGTTAGAGATTATAAACGACCTCATGTGGATGTTAGGAATCAAACTGGGGTCCTCTCCAAAAGCAGTATGTGCTCTTAACCACTGATCAATCTCTCCAGCCCCCCAATACATATTTTTCTAATTAAAAATGATCCCTGGAACGTTTTTCTACTCCTCTGTAAAAGCAGAATGACAAAGCTAGAAAGATATTTCAGCTCTCTCATTGTACAGGTAGACTGCCAGTAATTACTTCTGCATTTAAATAATTCTGTCTATGAGGGGGAGACTATGGGAGGGTGCCATCTGGGAAGTAGGTATATAGACAAATAAGATTGTTTGGAATGTTCTGTGTGATATACACACAAAAAATCAACAAATTTAAAAAATGAGTTATAATTGAGGAGAAAGCATAAAAATTTATGTAATGTGAAGTAGTAGAGGTGATAAACATTACCATTGAAATCTACCCGATGACTTTATATCCATACAAAAGTGCCAAGGAGCCAAGTGTAACTGACCATGACTAGTAATAGTCAGATACATACAGATTAGAGACACATGTGCCAACATCTAAATGTTATTAGCAAAAACAATGAGTATTTCTGTAAGAAACAGTATATTTTAAAATGAAATGGAGGGCCAGGCATGGTGGCGCACGCCTTTAATCCCAGCACTCAGGAGGCAGAGGCAAGCAGATCTCTGTGAGTTCAAGGCCAGCCTGGTCTACATAGTGAGTTCCAGGACAGCTGGGGCTACAGGAAGACCCTGTCTCAAAAAGACCAAAAAATTTTTTTAAAAAAAGAAATGGAGATCTTTTTTCAAGGTTAAAAACTCATTCAATTTTATGTCTTACAGGGTTTATACTGAGTTCAATATTGTATAACTGTACTAATTCACCTGTGAACCTAAAAACTTACAGCCACTTTTGAAAGAGATGTATGCTTGCTCTGGAACATGTTACTGAATATGTTAAAGCTGTAATGAAATGCTTCTTCTAATCATGTGGTTATTAAATTTAAAAAAAAGGAGCTTTTGTGTGGCCTGTGTGTGTGTGTGCTGATATTAATAGAAATGTAGCAACGATGCTGGCTCTCTAGCCTTCCTGTTTGCGATGGACCCTGGCTTCTCATATACTGCTCCTGTGGTACTCCTAACCCTTAAATTACTTTGTGTGGCTGATGAGCCCCTGCCACACTATTGTTTCTTCCA